CTTTGCCAGACGCAGTGGAAATGCTTTCCGGTCGCGTTCAGTTAAGGAGACGGAGAATCTTGGGCTCCAGATCTTTGAGTAAATAACTGTATGAAGCGAGAGTCATTCGGCAGAAGCAGTGGTCTGGAGCACTTGGCAGCCGGCGCAACAAGCGATGCGTTCGAGAAGACTCCCTTTCGAGTCCGAGATTGTGAAAACGCGAGCGTTCCTAATGAGCGAATATCGAATCTGCTTAGTTTGTGTACTAAGCCTTGAGACTGCAAGTGTAACATGGCTGCTGCTCACCCATCTGGTAGGAATCCTGCTCCATGCATAATTTTTGGAGACAGAAGCCTGATTGTGGCTTAGGGCCCCTGCACACAAACGGCAGCCCTTTTACAGGGGTAAGTAAACTCACCCCCTGAGGCTCCTGACGTCAGCATTTAGAGGCGTTTGCCACTCTAAGGGCGGCCCGAGTTCTAGGTGGGGGCAACTTGGGTCTGGGAGGATTCCTGCTCCGTTCATAATTTTCAGAGCCAGAAGCCCGTTCGTGGCCACGTGATCCTGGACATGAACAGCAGCCTTTTACCAGGGGAAACAAAACTCACCCCCACAGGTTCCTGATGTCAGTTTGTCAAGGCATTTGGCATCCAAGGGCAGCCCGAATTCTAGGAGGGGGCAGCTTGGATCCAGGAGGAATCCTGCTCCGTTTGTAATTTTCAGAGGCAGAAGCCTGCTCGTGGCCACGGGTTTGCCCTGGGAGGCAAAGATTTAGTTTCAGATAAGCATTGTTAAAGTGAGAGGTGTGGCTTTAAAGCCCGGGAAATGTGAATTCCATTCCACTGCCTCAGGGAATGGACCCTGTGAGCACAGGAAGAATTGCTCCGCCCTGTACCCCTCGTGAGGTGGCAGCCCAGGGTGTTTTGATTGGGTTTGAGGCCCTGAGGTTTCTCCCTTGCTCTGTCTCTATTAGCCCCCGACCTTAAACTCCACCCTGGTTCTGTCCCACAAAACCCATCACCCTGCCTCTGTTCAGGGCTCTCTGTCTCTGGATCTAAGCTGAGTTTGCTCCTGTGCTGAATAAATGGTTTCCTGAGCAGAAGCCCGTCTCGCTGGGGTCTCATGTTAGTCACTGGTAACTGTAGCATCCCTGGACATGATCCTGCAGCTGTGGAATGCAGCAGGTGAGTAAACATCACTACGTCAGCTAAAACTACTGCACACAGCACTGCTCACTCAACAGTGACTTCATGGTAGGGGAGTTGTCACTAAGCAAGGAAGGGCACAGCATGTGGGAGTGAAGGAACTCTTTTAGACACTGAATTTGTGGGCATCCATTGTACGAGGATCCTTCAGATTTTACTCCTGGAAACCAAAAAGTGATGTCTGACAACAAATCAGTCTCCAGACTCTGGTTATGATAATCATACAGAATGCTGAAAATAAGTGTAACATTATCTACCAGGAAACAACACCCCTGTCTTAGGGATCTTCCACTTCACAGAGGTCGTATACTGAGAAGAAGCATCCAGATGATGAAAATAAGTAAAAAAATGAATGGATGATGTAAAGGCAATGACATTGGTGCTCTCACAGGGTTAGGCTGGGCAAGGGACAGCTGCCACCAACCAGCAGAAGGCACCACTGGTACCCAGCGGCTCAAGGTGAGCGGAGGTGCCACCCACTGTACCTGCATTCCCAGGAACGGAGAACTTGGATCAGTATTTTCAGAGGATTGAAGTAAACGTATTGTTCTGGGTTTCTCTGGTGGAAGTCTTCATGTTTAAAACTCAGTATGTGCTTGTTCTCTTGGGGGAGGGTTGGACCAGGATAACAGGAGCAGGTGGTTATTTCTGGAGGACTGAAAATAAAATAAACTGTCCCTGTAAATCTCCAGCTGATGTTCTTATGGAAAAAGTAAATGTTCTTAAGGAAAAAGTTCTTATGGGAAAAGTAAAGCTCTTATGGAAATCTGAACAGGTTGTAGTTCCTTTCATAAGAGAAAAGCCTGGGATTTTAGGTCCTCGAAAGTGATCGTATTTGACTTCCTGGGGGCACAATGGCTGCTCAGGCAGGATTGGGTTTCCTTCTCTTGGATTGCTTTGTTCTTTGGGGACACAGAGTGTATCAGGCACTGAGAGACACAGGCTGCTGTGGAAGGTAAAACAAATTGTCTGATGTGGAAAAGCAGACCGGTTGGGAAAGTGTGCAGTCCACGCTGCTGCACCTGAGACACTGCTACAGTTTCAAAAGTAAAAGCACAGTTACTATGTCTGACAAATGTAACCTTGGATGTTCCACTGCCATTCCCTTGTGTCGCTCTCCCAGCTGTTCCTAATAGAGCGACACCCTTGAGAGTTACCACAATTAGAAATTGTCATGATGCAAACCTGCAATGATCAGAGATGCACACCTTCAGCTAACTGAAAATGTAGGAATTCTGTGAGGATGCTTCTACCTACACAATTCTCATGTACAATGTGTGTTATGTGCAACAGCTTCTTGATATTTCTACGAAGAACAAAAAATTGACTAGGACAACTGAAGATGGAAACAATTCCCTGGCAACTCAGACACACAGAGCTGATCCAGAAGTACTGGGTTTGAAGGCAATTCCTTGAGCACAGAGAGATGAGAGTGCTTGTGTGTTGTCCTGGCATGCATCAGTGTCAAGTCTCAGTACCCAGCAGAAGCTCATTACAGCTCCTGCAGGTTCATCTCTTGGAAAGGCACAAACCCAGTTCAGTTCTGTGTGTCCAGAGTGGGTTATCCACAGTCGTAACACTGGGCATTAAAATAGCCAGGTGACTAAACATGGAACCTAGTGCTTTTGTTTCCATATTACAGGATTTTAGTAGGAATGGAGCTGTTATTTTGAGGACAATATGGAAAATGTGACCTCAGAAATATTTCTTCATTGCCTACAAGTTGAAGTTTTCTCAGCTCCTCCAGCTGCACTTGTGACCATTTTGCTTTCAAACTGAGTTTTGCAACTGTAAACATTCTTGGGTCCCTGAATACAAACTCGGTGCTTTCATATTTGGATCTAAAAGCAGACATGAATTTCATGGCACTGATGCAGTCCTGGTTTAATGGGCAATTAAACCACGCATGATCTTAACAACCCTTAAAAGCAAACCCAGCTCATTTGTAAAGCAGAAAGTGAGAGAGTAAGCACTAGTGTCATACACATTTGTCAATTCATGTTCTGCTTCTTCAGAAGTGACTTCAGCAATTGCTTCACACAGATGAGCACAGGTTTCCCCAGATGAGCAATGGCCCCGTGACCCTGAGCAGTGCTGGAGGAAAACACTGCAGTCACTTTGTCACATGCCATTGCTGAGCCTGGAAACACTGGTTTTCAGTTCTAGGAATCAAAAGTAGGGAATATCACCTGGTGCTCCCCATGGAGCGGCTGCCCCTGAGATTGTGCTAGGCTGGCCCTGAGACCAGGTGCCACCAAAGCCACTCCATCACTGACCTCCTCAGCTGGACAGGGAGGAGAATACAACAAAAGGCTCATGGGTGGAGACAAGGAATTTCTACATTTGAAATGTTCGACACAGTTAAATAGCTCGGAGCACACCACCGATCTTAAAGAGCTGTCAATACCTTTTCAGTCGTGTTTCAAGTTAACAAGACTGTTTTTAGAAAGATAAATTATCTGCTCTTCTAAACTTTTGTTTCTGACTCATATATTTCATACCAGGTTTCTCATTTCTTTATTTCTCCTTCAAGTCCCTCTGACCCAGCAGAGGCTCACGGGGGTGCCCAGCAGCTGCACACCTGATGGGTTCTGTTCTGGTAAGAGCATCGCGCGCAGTCCGGAATCGCTCCAGGGAAATCTCTGCAAGTCGAGCTCTCTCCGCTGTATTCCCTCCCTGCGGCCCCGCCGTGGCAGGGGCAGGGACGGGCAGGGGCTGGGGGAGGGGCTGAGGCACGGGCTGAGGCACGGGCTGGGGCTGGAACAGGGGCTGGGGCTGGGATGGGCAGGGGCTGGGGCAGGGGCATTGGCTGGGAGAGGGGCACTCCGGAGGCAGCCGGGCAGCTGTGCCCTGCCCGGACCACACCACTCCCGCGGGCGGGGGGAGGGACTGGGGCCGCGGGGCCCGGGCGGGGCGGTCCTACCAGTCCGGCCGTGCTCTGCCCCGCAGAGGCTCTGCCCCCTTCCGGGATGGTGCAGGTTATTTATTGCGCTGCCCAGCACGGGCTGTCCCCAGGGCTCGGTGTCCCCTTTCAGCGCCGGCCGCGTGTCCTTGAAGCGGCGGCGGTGGCTCCCCGTGGGGTCCGTGGCGCTCACGGCCGGTCGCCCGCACCCTGGAGCCTCCCGGTCACATGCAGCAGGGAGACGAGGTGCTTCTCCTTTGGCCACCTGCTGATCCAATCCCGCGTTTCCTCCTTTCCTAGGCATCGCTCTGTTCTGGGGAACAACTGTGAGAACTCTTCCCGGTGAGTAACCACTGCCTGTTCCCACACCTTTCCCACCGTGACCAAGTGATATCCCCACACCAGAACGGTGACTTGTTGATGGCCATCCCTTAAAACTTCTTTTTTGATCTCTAAGACAGTCAGCAACTTTTAAATTTCACTTGGATGCCCATGCTCTGTGAACTGAGGTGAATGGTTCTCTCCCAAGAAGACTCCAAAGTGTCACTTCTGAGCAGTTTGCAGATGCTCTCCTGTGGTCAGAATCATTGCTATTCTACAGGAAATCCATTGCAGGAGGTTCAGTACACACAACCCTGCTATGGCAGCCATGCTCCTGAAATGTCACAGGAGCTGTTCTTCTCCTTTTTTACTGCACTTGAGCTGGAAAAATCCATTTCTGGCTGTATTTGAGCTATGGAAAAAGAACTTTAAAATATCTGGGGGACACGGGCAATTGTCTAGACCGGCATTTTTAGACATGCCTCTGGTATGAGGCACCTCATCTCAGTTATCTTTAAATAACGCTAATTTGGTTTTTTTGGGAATCCTGCATGAGTCATTCTGTCTCCCAAGCAAGAGTAGAGCACCACTCAATAAAAACATTTATTGATTCAGAAGCAACTTTTACAGTGAGATTATTTGCATGTTCTTATCTGGAGTAATGGTTTCAACCATGAGGAACAATCTAAAGTAGTTTTGCTTCATACTCTTACTGAGTGCTTTCCCTTCTCTACCCCAGGGAAGTGCATTCCCTGTCATACATGCGCTATTTAAATCATCTGCCTTCTTTCACAGATGCCCTCAGAACATGTCTGATTGGACAAGCCTGTGGTATGTCTGGTAGGTTGGCTTTTAATCTTCCTAACCCAGAACTATTTGCAAGTTTTTATGAGCAGTACTTGGAGAAAGCAATGGAAATGTTTCTCTCGGGTAAGATCAGGGAAGGGTTTCTCTGTTTTCTGAGAGCTGCCAGAGGAATGGACTGGACAGTGTAGATTGGGTGTCAGGTGGGGACCAGCATTCACCCAGGGCTGTGTCATCTTTCCCTTCTGAGTGCACTGGAGTTGAACTCAAGGGCTTGTTTGTTCTTCCTAAATAGCCAGAGCATTGCTGGCCATTGGCTCTTTGCACAGGGCAGCTTCTGCAGGGATTTGCTGGGATGTGGTCCTGCCTCATCCTCGGCTCACTCCCTTCTGCAGCACAGGGACTGTCACCCTCTGCAGAGCTGCCCCTCGGAGCTCCAGCAAGCACAGGCCTGAGCATGGCCTGCTGAAAGGGGGAAACTGGGATAAGAGAGAGAGTATTCATAGCAGGATTCATCACCTACCTCACACGTGTTATAGCTGCCCTGACATTGTGTTCACAGTTTGCATTCTTTCCATATATTGACTTTGGTGATAGCACACAGAAGGAGTTGGTTACTTCTACCTCCTTCAATCTGGAGCAATTTTGGTTGATACACAGAACTGTTTAAAAAGACACAGGTAACTGTAAAATAGATTGAGAGGGCTTGAGAAACTGAGGGGTGGGAAGGTGTAGTTTCAGCAGAGAGGAAAACCTGACACACAGGTATATCTGTCTAGGTACATTTTAAATTGTTAAATTATAAACTGCCTTAAGCAATAGGTAGAGATAGAATTGAGTTTTCAAAGCCTAAATATAATTTAATATAATATAATGTCCATGCTAATTTATAAAGAGAAGCCTTAGACTTGTGGAAGTTCCTGCTTGCATTTCCCTCCAAGTACAAATCCTCTCTTGCTGTGGAAAGCAGAGCCATTCTCCCTGCACTGATGGTGAATATAATCCAAAATAGTGAAATGTTACAGCACCTGTGAACCAGAATGGGTTGTGCTGATATGCCGTAGTTCTTCAGCTTGTGATTGTTTGTGATCCAACTTTCTAATCCAGGATCCAGCACCCATTCAGAACTAAATAAAGGAGGCTGGGCCTGTCTTCCAACCATTTGGAGTGAAATTATATTCTGGTTTAGAAGAAGTAAAACATAAGCAATGGAATGATGGTGTTTTCCCCCCTCTTTCAGGTTGATCTTGCTGACAGTGTTCCTGCTCCTGCTCTGTGGGGTCTCAGTGAGCTGCATCAAATTCTGCTGCCGGAAGAAGAGGCTTCCAGTGGAGACCTTCCCTCGGCACCCTTGTGACTTGACAGTGATTGGCCTTGACAGTGACAGCACTGCCCACAGCACAGTGACCTGTGAGTGTCCTGGGAATCGCCTGAGGAGCATTGCTCCTCAGCCTGTGCCTGGAGTTGTGTCCAGTCCCTGCAGGAATGGGAATTCCCAGTGAGCTCCTGGAACAACTTCCAGCTCCACAGGGTGGGCACGAGAGGTGAAGGGAGGGATCAGGGTGACAGTGGGTGACAGTGAGTGACACTGAAGACCAGGATTGATTCTACTGATTCTATATGGACAGCTTTACTATACAGTGTTTTTTTTCTGAAAACACAAAAGTCTGTAATTTCCTGGGGAAAAAAAAAAAGCAGGATTAGCCCTTTATATATCAGTGTCCCATACAGGTGTTTAATTTTTATTTTTATTTCTTTTTCTTCACAGCATATAGCTCATGGCAGTACCCTCCAAGTGTCCAGATTCCCTCGGTATTTGTGGATATGGAAAAGAACACTGTGTCCCCTCCAGCTTACAGCCTCTATGCTATGGACCTGCCACCTTCCTATGATGAAGCTGTTCAAATGGGAAAGCAAGTGGCATGGACAAACCAGAAACTTAATGACATCCCTGAACAGGTGACACCAGGTGGGCTGAATCTCAGCCAGTCCCCACCTGACACAATCAATAGAGATCCAGCAACACAGACAAAGTCAGAAGATTCAGAAGATGCCAGAAAAGAACAGCCACAAGTCTGACTCAGTTCAGACAGGGAGTAAAGTAAGGGAAGGACAGTAAGAGTTAAAGAAGATGTGAAGAGTTTGGGTTTATTAGTAGGTTATGATAGAAAGATGTTTCTTTTCATGCCCTTGTAATATTTGTCAGAAGAAATGTTTTCTGTAACTGCTGTAATCCCCTGGTAAAGCTTCTTCATGGATATGAAATGAGGTAAAAGAGCAGCAGTTTAAAAATGCCTGTAAAAGTGGGATGTGAATGTATGTTCATCTGATAAAAAAAATTGTTCCTTGTGTCCAGCAATAAAAAAGGTCAGGAGAATTTTGCCACCTTGGGAATACACACTCAGAACAGTACAAACAGGAAGTTGTTGTTCTAGAACAGAAGTTTCCCAAGCTGGAATTGAAGGGGGAATCCCAGCAAGTGACACTGAATAGCCTCTGTAGTTTCTCTTCTTTTGAGAACATCAACTGCCCAGGAAACTGCTGAGGACAAAGTGATGCACAATAGTTCATGTTCCTCAAGGAGCAGAAAGATGCCAGGACAGGAGAGTGTGGAGGGAGTTGCTTTTTCACAGGGAGTGAGACAGATGTGACACGACACTTATGTGGTGGTAGTGGTGGTCATGAGACCCCAAGGGATTGTTTTTGAGGTTCTGTAAATCTTTCCATTTCTATTTCCAAGATATGTTGCCTTGTGGGTGGGTTCCCTTTGCTATTTATTTTTATCAGATAAAGTACACATTAATTCCAAAGAGACACTTGCACACATGGTTAGGTACTACTGATGTGTTTCAAATATTCATCAAATATTTCAAAGATATTTTGCTATCTGCTTAGGTGTCAGGGTCTAAGACAGCACAGGGAAGAAAAATCATGGGTTCCTGACAGCTTTTACCAGTTCAGAACATGGACAAGCTCAGGAATGAGCAGGGTGACACAAAACATGCTTGTGCTGAGCCATCCAGAGTAAGTTAGAGATACAAATACCACAGTACATGCTGGGAAAAAGTTCAAAGAAATTACTCTTAGGGATGGTTCTTTGTGCAGTACTGATAGAGGGATAACTGCTGAGCATTATTTTAGAGCTGGGAACTTGGAGCTGATTACAGCAGTCGCAGCCCAGACAAAAATATGGGCTCCAGAGGCAGGGTTTTTAATGCCAGCTCTTTCCCTTGCCCCTCCATATTCCAAATAGTCCAAATTTTGTCCACTCCTGAGCAGTGATTTTCTTTGAATCCACTTCAGCAAGGTGCTAATCTGGCTGCTTTAAGAACATGAGCAATTGACAGGGTGGCTCAGTGCTCTGGGTAAGAGCAGCAAGTAAAGCCTGAGAGCCCAGTGAATAAAGCATAAATTTAGGTGTCTGTCATTAACAGGCAGTAGAAGTGGTGGGCACAAAAGCCTGCACAGCTTTTAGAAGACTGTTATTCTCTGACAACCATTACTGCAAGAACTGCCCTGGGAATGAGCACTAATGATTGAAAAATGAAGATCTCTGCCAGACACAGGCCCAAGATGCTGCTGCAGAGTCGTGTGTGAGCTGTCCATGAGTCTGACTCCCCAGGAGAGGGTCGCTTCTATATTTAACTTGCATGTAACGTACTATGAGGGTTGACTGGTATAACAAATCTGCTTCTCTTGTTTCCTCTCTGTCATCCTTCATTATAATTCTCCTGTTTTATTCTTTCCTCTGCTTTCTTTATCTGTGTCAAGATGGAAGATGGGCATAAACCAGGGTAACTATTTGGATGTCTCTGGCTGGAAGGGCAATATATGCCTCCTCCTGGATGTCTCCAAGTCATAAATACAGTAAACGTATTTTTATTTATTGAACTTTTCCACAGTACTCAGAAAGAAGCCTCTGCCCTTCCAAAGAAGGAATTTGTGTTGGAGGGAAATGGTTGAGCACTCACTGACAAATAGAGATGGGAATTCAAAGCCAGGCGAATGAAAGAATTGTGACTGACACAAGAGGGCAGCCCCTCACTTCTCGCTGTGTGCAAAGGATCATCATCGGCACCGGCGGGGAAGGGATCGAGCTGGCTGCAGGAGCACGGGGAGCCATCGCACCGTTCCAATTCCCTGCCCTCTGTGCCTCGGCAGCGCCTGGCACGGGACCTGCCAAACTGACAGGTCTGTTCTGTTTGCTCACAGGAGATGCAAAAGCCCAAGAAAACCCCAAATGCCTGTGCATACTAGGAATAAGGGCATAATCTGCTCTTTCCTTTCTAGCACCTAAGGAAAAGTCTTGTGTTTGCCCAGGCCTTGTAACGTAGTTCATGAATTCAGAAATTGTTAACAGCAACTCAGCCCCAATCAGCCCTCAGAACAGACTTCCCCCTGCACACCAAAACCAGCTCAGCTTTCAGTGTAACCTTCACAGTTAGGAAATTATTAAGGTCTTTCTTGTGACTGGCCTTCTCCAGAGCCTGCTAAGGGCGACCCCCATGCTGGAGTTCTTGCAATGGAGGGTTGAAGAGATCCCTCATCTCTACACAGCTCCTGGTTCATGGAACAGTTAGAACTTCACATTTTTGAAACCTACAGTTCTCTATCGCTTTGCTTGAAATTGGCCAGTGGATTCAGAAGTTATTAGTTGGGTATGCAGAGTGGAAGGAGGGGAAGCAGGGCATGGATTTAGAGTTTGTGATTCCAAAGCCTTGCTCCCAGAAGAAACCAGGTTTAAAAAGAAGACCAGGGGGGAGATTATAGGTTTGACCTGATGCAGGATCTAAGAATTCTGATTTGTCAGTCTGGTGGTTTTCACCATCGCTAGGTCTATTCAAGTCTGATTATATACACACAAGCTTTGTGACATCTCTAAGGGAAAAGCCCCTCTCTGTAATTACCCAAAGTGCATTTTTAATTGTGATTTATATTTGGTCCTCAGTTTGGCACTGTTCAGCATGCAATTTTTCTTCTCTCATTTGTTCAAAATGATCATTTTGTCAGTTATTTTCTTCTGTTCTTTGCTGGCTGTCTGAAAGAGTCTGTGCTGGGGAGATGGACTGCTGAGGTTGGAGCCTCCATCACTTTCTCTCCTCTCACACACATGCACTCAGCATGAGGACTTGTGCTCAGAAAGAAAACACAGCCGTGGAAGTAAATTTCCTGAAAAATTAATGGGCTTTATAACCCAGAGCAAATTATACCTTGGCTCTGTCATGAAATTCAGGCTGCAAATCCCCTTATAGCCAAGCTTGTTAACAATATAAGTAGAGTGGTACCTCTAGAATGGCTTTGATAATTGATGCATTATAATCTTTGGAGAGTATTTAGTGGCAAACCTGCAGCATCCAGACTGAGGCATCAGTGGGGTCTGGATACAGGAAAAATGAGAAAAGTAATTTCTTTGTCTGCCTCACAGTTGCCTTTGTCTGCCTCACTAGCCTAAATAGCTCAGGTTTGGCTGCTTTGTTTTCTAACTGCATTTTTTCTTTATCAGCTGCAGTTTTTGAGGGAAAAAGATCACTGCTGCTGCTGGTATGGATGAGTGGGACACTTGGACACGTGCAAAACCTGCTCATTTATGGAAGAAAATGTCTCTGCCTCAACCACTCTTCATACTCTTGGCTGTCTCCTGGTTCTGATCCTAATCCTCTTTACCTGTTAGAACTCTTTTTGCTTAGGGAGACACTGACTAATTTTGGTGCAAGTAGCAAAGGTTCTTTCCTTCACCCACAGTTAAAATTCAAACTGCAAGAGAAGCCTTGGAATCCTTTTCAGAGCAGACAATGAAAACAAAGTATCATGGGGGAATTGTGCTCTAAAAACTGGAGAAGACAATAAATGTTTTATGAAATTCTACATCCTAAGGTCAAACACAATGCACAAATAAGGCTTAGGTGCAGACCCACACTGCTGGGAAAACATTTTGTTCCGGTCAGTTAAAATTTAGAATATAAATGCCAGAGCTGCTCTCTTTATTTTACTGGAAGGAAAAAGAGGCCTGTAGAAAAGAATGCAGACTTTCAAAGATATTTCATTTCTTTTGTTAAAATAACAAAGTTCACCTTGGGCACTTGGAGAAAGGAGAAAATAAATTTCTATTTCAAACCTAGAAATAAATCTGCAAACCTGAATCTTCATTAAAAATCTTCATTTTTACTAAGTTTTTTACCCTGCTTTCCCAAGTAGCTCAAAAAGGAAACAAAGGAGAAGAGCCTGATGTCGAGCTCTTATTTGTGCATTTTTTATTCTCTCTTTCCATGATAGGAGTTTATGGCATAAACTACTTCCTTCCACAAATGACGAAGTGAAGTCCCGAAGTCCAAGTACTGAGCTGGGAAACCCAGCTTGGCGACTTTTCTGCCACAGACTTCCCACATGACACTGGTCTGTAGAACAGGGGCTGTAGCACTGCCTTTTCTTGCATAGAGTTTGGAGGATGAACACACTGAGCGTGGGTTGTGCTGTCACATTGAAATACAGGTACAGTCAGAGCATGATGAACTTCGTGTGAGACGTGAAGTGCAGGAAGAAACCTCCCCACTCCTTCCCCCTCTTAAGGGGCGAATCGGGAGAAGAAACTTGGGCAAAGTGTAAGATTTAGAAACGGCCCCTGGACTTCAGGTGCCTCATCACAACATTCCTAACTAGGGGAAGATGCTGAAAGAAATAGGCAAGGCTTGTTCAGCTCCATGGGGCTGGAAATGTTTCTTTCCCCAAAAACCCTGCCAGGCAGCTGTCAGAGAAGCCTGGACCGCTGTGCTGAAGGTGGGAGAAGCTGCCCGGCCCCCACATAAGGTCACTCCAGATGGGCTTAGGAAATAGAACTGTGATTAGCCGGCAAAGCAGACAGCCATAAAAATAAACACCCCGTGTGTGTTTGGAGAGCGTTTCTTCCGCCCTTGGCTGAGCTGCCTGCTCCCAGCAGATGGGGGAAGTGAGCCGGAGCGGCCCCGGTGAAGGTCAGCTGGGCTGAATGAAAGGCCAACACACTCAGCGGCAATTACATTTAGTGCGATTATTTGGGGGGAAAAAACCGTGGTATGCTTTTATTCTTCACATATTTCGCATATAGAAACACTTTTCCCTCTTGATAAAAGGCCCACAGTACCTGCTATAAAATACTGAAATTCAAATGACTTGGGCCATCTGGGAAATAAAAAAGTGTATGTTCGGTTATTTTCCACTGTAATAATGAGAAAAAAATCGGTGATAATGAGTAAGGTTATCCCTCAATCAAGAAATATCCTGGAGTGTGACAGACTCAAGCTCTACCACAGATATCATTGGGAATCTAAATGAGTTTCAAAATCTCTGCCACTATTTTCCACTGGTAAACAGTTCTAGGATCCAGAGGTTGGAAGGGACCTTTACACATCTCCTGCTGCTCACTAGGGTCAGCCAGAGCAGCTTGCCTCCCCTACAGTAGCTCTGAATTCTCCAGGGATGCAGATCTCACTGCCCATCTGGGCAACCTGTTCTACTGTCTGACCCCTCTTACAGTGAAAATAGCTTTTTGGAATGTTGAAGTGGAATTGTATTTGGGATTGTTCCTACTGCTTCTTACTGTGTAATCTGGTGCCCAGTGAAAAAAGTCTGCCTCTGTCTTCTTTATACTTTCCCCCCAGGTATTTATACACATTTATACACATTTATTAGATTCCCCCTGTACCACCTCATCCAGGGGCCAAAGACTCCCAGCTTGCTCATCCTTCCCTCACACGTCAGATGCTTCAATGCCTTAATCATCCAGATATTTAACTCCATCTTTTCCCTGAACTGCAGTGTGCTATTTACTGGATTTCTCCTGCCTGTGGAATGAAGAGCTGCAGAAAGCAGAGTGTGAAGCCCCCATGGATGCCTGTCCCTGTACCTCTGCCCTGGCTGGCAGCGGTGCTACCTGGGCACAGGGTGATTGCAGGGCTGGCACTGCTATAGCATTATCTCCCACAGCCAGGGAGCACCACAAGCATGTGACAGCTGCCACCTCAGTGTGGCCACTGTGGCATGGCCCCACGGGAAGGGGAGTGCCAAGGTGAAATCAGAGGAAGATAAATCTCCCCTCTCTCCTCCGTTCTACACGAACTGTTTAACCAGAATTGGATAAACTGCTGGAAAGCAGGAAAACTAAATTCAACCTTCCTCATGCTTTGCACGGGGCTTTGGGGTGGAAGGTGCTACAGAAATACCCCTCCTTGGGAGACCATGCTTTAGAAGCAGAGGAAATTGCCTGGATTAAAAAAAGAGCACAAGGAACAATGTTTTTCCAGGCCAGAGAAGGGAGCTTTCCCTTTCTCTAGTTTATTTTGTCACCATTGTCACCAACAAGAAAACCATATTTCATCAGAGCTTGCTCCTCCAGGTTTCAATCAAAATGGTTATTGATGTAAAATCTTAAGTGAACTAGCTAGAGATACTGCAAACCCATTGCTCAGTGCTATGCCAGAATAACAGTAATGAAATTCTCATTGATTCCTACCTCTTGATTTCTTAACACATCCCACTATTTTACGTACAAAGCCTATACCCCAGAATCTCCGGGCTTTAATCAATGTGCAAGATTCCAGGTAACACACGTTACTGTAATTAGCACAACAAAATCAGGATAAGGATAATTTGAGCATCTATGGAATTAGTTTGGTGACTTCTTCATCCATTTATAATTATAAATCATAAAAGTACAAGTGTGTACACATGTCTAATCCACTGATGGCTGTCACATACAGCCCTTTTTCCTCCCATTTTTGTGATCAGGCCTGCTCCTTTCAGGCTCCTTGGTCCCTCTTCCCTTTTGTAACTCTGTGCAGCCACTTACCCGTGAACCTGTGGTTAATCCTGATGCCCACACTGGCTTATTTGAGTCTGAAACAACATTCGGAAAAATTAAACTAAAGGGAGCTTCTCATCCATCTGGGGATGGGGTGGGGGATGGAAGAGGCAACTGCTATGTCCAAAAATCAGTCAGATTGTTCTTTATGACATGAGCCCCAAAACACAGGTGTTGATGTAGAGGGGTCTTTCTTCAAATCTGCATGTCTGAGTTCTAGTGATTCGCATCTAAAGCTGTGGCTGCATTGCCTTGAATTCAGGGAAGGCTCCAGTATAAAATCTCTGGCACAGGAAGTTCATCTTCCTCTCCAGAATTCCTTCCTCCATCTCATATATATATGCAGAACAGCAGGGAACTTACTTTGGCCTTGCCAGTGCAATTGAAAACTCTCAGGATTGCAGAGCAGTGTGAGTTTATGGCCATCACCTTCAGTTCAAGTGTTCAAGTGAGGCAGCACAGACCAGTGGTTCTTGGTGACAACACCTAATCCCAAAATATCCTCAAGTGCTGAGCTGTGTTTGGTACCTGCACGTGAAGCTGCGCCCAGTTCCTCAGCAAACATGATCAACAAGGGTGACATTCTTAGTGACATTCAAACCATTTCCACAGTCAAACTTACTGATGACAGTGAGCATCAAAGGAAGAGAATTTGACCATCATGTAACTTTGCTACAATTACAAAGTAAGAAAAACTGTGCAAAAGCAGGATTGGACCCAGTCAATGCCTAAACTATCACTAATTTTAACAGGTTAATTTCACTTTCTAGATTTTTCTCTAGGCTTTGGTGTCCTTTAAAAACAGCCTGCTAGACTTCAGGCCAAGGCTGAGGCAGTTCAATTGTCCAGTTTGAGCCTCAAACTAAAACAGGAAAAATGTGAACAGCATTACAACTGGAACTTGATGTGAAGTTTTCTGGGAGAATGGCAATGTCTGAGCATGGCACAACATTAGAGACCTCTGAGCTATGTCTTTATGAGTACGATCTGTGTGGATCTGTGTGCAGAGATCCTCACCAGCATCCCAGAAACAAAATGCTGTGGACTGGGGCACTCACCAGGGCTAAACTGAAGTACAGCAAGGCACTGATGCAGCTCATGATGCTTCCAGTTCTGGAAACTGCCTGTGCGGCTCTCTGGGATGTGTGGCTGCCAGTGCACAGTGCATGTATTCCCTACAGGAATTCTCTCCAGGTCTAACAAAGCCAGCAGGCTGTGCTTGCAGAGTGTGACTAAGCTCCACCAGGCAGAGGTTATTCCAGCCCCTCTCCTGAATAGAACGTGCTATACTGGGGAAGGAACAGAAGCAGCACCTGCTCCAGTAATTTTCACAGCGCAGCTGGAGGAGCTACCCAGAGTGCAGTGAGAGAGGACAGCACCTGCATGGCTCAGCCCCTTCAGGACAGCCCCAGCACGGACTGTTATAGGCAGTAGGACTGGGAACAGAGGAGGCAGCTCTGCTACCCCCCTTCATTGAGTCTCTGTTCCCAAGACCCCCCTCCCCTCTCACTGCCAGACAGAAATACACAGACCTGGATTTAGCTGTAGCATAGGCTCAGCCAGCACAGAAATAACTTCAGGCAGCCCATGCAGACAGAGTGGAACACTGCCCTTGGCTCCTCTCTGCCAGCCTTCCCAGGAGACACGTGTTCCCAAACGCCCAGCCTCCCGTCGGGCTGGAAAAATGCCACGATTGGAAAGCACAGACAGGGGAGTCACCTCAGTGTCATTGCAGTGGGTTGGTCTGGGCAGCACGAAGGGCTTAAAATCCACCAGTCACCTGCTACTTCATAGAAGAAAATAGAAAAAGAGTCATTAGTTTTAGTCACATCCAGATGCTCAAAGTGAGAGATTAATAAATAATAAATAGGAGTAGCATCAATTACAAATGCCAAAGGGGGATGATGTCTCTGGATGCATTTCTGCTGACTGGTGCATATTAGGAAACCACAGAGTGCTTTTAGCTTTGACTCCAACATTAATTTTGGCAGCGGAAAGAGGTTTTATTAAAAGTACTGACAATGTCATTCATCTTTATTCGTATTACATTTGTTACAAGGATTTAAACCCCAATATGGAACTATGGGGAGATGAAAAATTTGAAATTGACTCATCTGATCATAAAAATAAATGAAACTCTAAACATGTTTTAAATAGTAAGAAGTACATTTGGGTATTATGTATTATATTCTCATACTGGAAGGTGGTACTTATATGAACTGTTTTTCAACGTTTGTTTTTTCTCTAAGGTATTT